GCGGGGACCCGCGGCGGGAGGGCACGCCGCCTGGTGCTCCAGGTGCAGTTCCCATGAGCCTGGGGGCCACGGTGGCCCAGGAGGAGTGGCCCGTCTCCAATCTGCCCCTGCCGTGTCTCTGCGCCCTGTCCACTGGACGCCAGTGAGCCTCAGAACCCAGGTAACCGAGGGCGGGACTCGGCCACAGTGTTCCCCACGGGTCTCCGCCTCGCGTGCGTCCAACCAGTCCATGCGCTCCTTCTCTCTGCCGCTGGCCGCGGAGCGGGTGCTGCTTGGGGATGGATCTTGAAAAGTTTGCGCCTGGACGGCGGTGCATCAGGCGACTGCTAAGGGAAACCCTTGCACCCGCGCACCCCGAGCCCACGTGAAAGAGGAGATGCTTCTGTCCCAGCCTCCTTGAGCATCCAGTTTTTCTCCTAATTAGAGCAGCCAAGCACCACCCTCCCCATTCTGACTCTCCATCCCTGAAAAAATTCCTGAGATGGGAACTGACAGTTGGTAATTCTTACGCCTTGGGGATGTTTATATCCGTACTTCCCGCCTCCTCCCCACGGACGCACGCTATGAACCAGTCAGTGTGCTCGGAAGGCACAGTTTTGTGTCCAAAGAGGTAGATCTGCACTCTGATAAAGAGAGTGCACGGCCACATGAAGCTGTCTTCTCCCGTCCCCTCTGTCTCGTTCCGTTTGCTCAGGTCGGGTCCTTGTGGACGCCCATCCAGGCTCTCTCAAGCCCAAGTCTGATGAGCCTAGGTAGTAAGAGGGGCTGCAGCCTGCAGATGGAGAGACCCAGAGCCCATTAAACCCTCATGGGTGTGCCCACAATGGACTTTCTTCCTTCTGTGAGAAAAGGGATCACTGTCTGGTGGAGAAAGGAAAGCTTCTCCTTACCCCGGAGCCAGAGAGAAGAGATGGGGGAGGGGGCTGGGTGGAATCTAAAGCAGCCATCATGGCTGACATGAACACCCCTGATTTCACTTTCTCCCAGGGACAAACCATGTAGGCAGTAGATGAGGAAAAAAAGGACACCCCAAAAGTCTAGGCATTTGGCTCAGGCACAGTGCTGGGCCTCAACCGCAGCCTCTGAGACCAGGAACTTCTGCGTGCTAAGAGATAACTACACTTGTTTAATGCAGCGGGGAGGTGCTTATGGAATCAGAAGACAACTTGAAGGGAGATAGGTTCTCTTCTCCCACCATGTGGGCTGAGGATTAAACTCAGATTGTCAGGCTTGGCAGTAAGCACCTTTACCCACCAAGCCATTTTGTTTCTCCATTTCTGCATTCTGGTTGTGACCAGCAGGGACCTGTTTCTCCTGGGGCTCCCCTGCAGTTCAGGAGTGCTCAAGGCAAAGGCACCTCCAAATCCCCTTAGGAAGCACTGCCAAGACCCAGCCAGCCCCTCGCTAAGCTCCCCAGACAGCAGGAGGCAGGACCGGCATTCCCTCCTGTAGCCATAGTGCTTGGCATGGAGAAGAAACTTGGCCAGAAACAGCTGAGTTCTTTTCCAGCCGGCAGCAGGCAGGCCTTTGCCCTTGAAGAACAGGAAGGACATCGAAACCTAGAACCAGAAAGCTGCAGACACAATCCCAGATGCCTTCACACCCTGCCCCTATGTGGGGCAACTTCTCTCTTAATCCAGCAAATGAAACGATTATCGTTAATCCCACTTCTTGCAGGGGCAAGGAAAAGCAGTGTGCTGGGTGAAGTGGACAGCCAGTGTGTCCCTCTCCTGAGCTGGAGGATGAGAGACTTCGTCCCACCTCGCAGAATTCTTTCCCACTCCTCAGGAGGTCTCATTTGGAAACATTAATGTCATTGCCTTTTCTTTTTTTTAATATTTTAAAATTTTTATTTATTTTTATTTTATGTACATTGGTGTTTTGGCATGGTTTTTGGGTCCTCTGGAACTAGAGTTACAGACAGTTGTGATCTGCCATATGGGTTCTGGGAATTGAACTCAGGTCCTCTGGAAGAGCAGTCAGTGCTCTTAATCACTGAGCCATCTCTCCAGCCCTGTCATTGCCTTTTCTTGATTCTTACCTCCCTGGCGGGGTTGCCAGGGATTAGGGAAGGAATTGACTTTTCTTGCCTCAGTTTCCCCTAGTGAGAAATAAGGTTTTATGAGCAAGTGGGTGCTCCGAAGGCATCTGTAGGCTGCAGAGGAAATCCAATGGGTGGTGTGTGTGTGTGTGTGTGTGTGTGTGTGTGTGCGCGCGCGCGCACGCGCGCCAATCTGGCTTTTCTAGGTGGGCTTTATGTCTCCCTTGTGCAGTAGCTGTGCATTTTGGTGTTCCCCGGAGAGCAAGCCTCATCAGGAGCATGGAGCATATAGTAGCTCCCAAGAAGTATTTACTGATCCAAGATAATCTCTACAGGAAGAAAAATTCCCATAATTCATGAGATCTGGAGAACCTTGAATCCCTCACCCCTTTTTTCCCTGTCTATGGAGAGGGAAAAACAAGGGCCTGGAGAGAGAAGAGGGAGGACTCCAGAACCCAGGCAAAGGCCCTCAGGCTGGCTGCCCCCAGAGTCACCTACAGGGATCTATCTCTCTAGGAGCCGATGGTCACTGTGAGGAGCAGTGGAAGAGTCCAGTGAGGAGGAATCCCAGCTTCCTAGGGAGGGGTGGAGGCTAAGTGACCAGACTGGTGGGGAGGGGGAGCTAAGAGGCTCCTCTAGGAATGTAGGAGGTGAGCCTGGGGGCAGGAGTGAGACCCATACCCTCATACAGAAAGCGGTTTTTCTGCCTGACCCTGATAGGCCCACTGGGAGCTTTGGCTTTTTGCCCCCAGTCCTGCCTTTGACCCCAAACAGCTCTGTTCATTGTCTCAGCACTGGAATGCACCTGCTGAACCTTGGAGTTGGGGCAGGGAGTGCAGGAGCCTGACCTTGAAGAATGTATAATTTCCTAGCTTGTTGGGTAGTTGGGGAGGAGGAGTGGGCCAGTCAAGGAAGCAGAGTAAGGCTTCACCTGCAGAAATAAGTCAGGGTGGGGTTTTTCTGTATCCGAGGCCATTGTAGGCCTCCCCATCGGTCTGCCATCCTTGCCTCGAGCCACCCTCTTGGAGAGAGTAAAGCCATGACTGAGACCTGGTTTTCTGTCCCTTTGCATGTTGGCTTTCTCCTACAAGTCTGATGACTTTCCACCACAGGGGATGGAAAAGTACGCCTATTGCAACATTTCGTGAGTCAGTGTTCACTCTGCTGTCTAGTGTCTGACCCTCACTTGGAGACAGTGTTGACTCTTTGGAGACAAGGACAAGGCTAAGCCTGGAGATTGTTGTGAAATGGTGTAGGCTGGCAGGGGGGAGCCATCACAGGCAAAGATACAATCGCTTCTTGGGGAAAAGGATGGTGTTCCCCAAAGTGGTGACCCAATTTCATCCCAATCTCTGACTTGCCTGTAAGTTTTTAACCTGCAGCATTCTCCTGCCTTCTGACCTTGACTAGGCCAGGGTCACCTGCAGCAGGTTCTGGACTGTTGGGGACCTCAAGAAGAAGAACTACCTGAGCCTCAGGCAGGGCATTTTGCCCCTTAAGGTTATCCCCCTTTGGTTAATTAGTAGCTTTGTAGCCAAAGTGGCCTATGCAACTTGGGGAATTCATTGGGAGCCTGTCAGAGACGTGGAGCCCAACCGCACAGTCTCTAGATCCCAGAGCCCAGAATCCAGCTGCTTCAGTAACCTGCCACTGGTCTTGCCTACATTCCCAGCCAGCGTGACTGGCAGAAAGCCCCCTAAAGCTCTGGTTCTAACATTGTCTAACTGGCAGTGTGGCATTGGACCTGTTTCTGAGCCTCAGTTTCCTTATCTGTCAGAGTTGCTTGGATTCTATAAAGGTATCTCACCCTTAGCACTATTGCCGTTTGGAGGAAGAGAGGAGGAGGCTGTCTTGTGCCGTAGTGGGTGTGTCCCTGTACCCTTCACCTCTATACAATAGTGCCATGACATCACATCTTCTCTGAGTCATATATGTGTGTGTATCTAATATGTATATATGCATACAGTACCCATGGAGACCAGAAGAGGGAGTCAAATCCCCCTGAAACTGGAGTTAAAGATGGTATGAGCTACCATGTAGGTGCTGAAAACCAAACCTAGGTACTCTGGAAGAGCGGCCAGCACTCTCCTGGGATATATATTTCCATCTCCCTTGGTCGGCTTCAAACTCACAGAGATTTGCCTGCCTCTGCTGCAATTAAAGATGTTTGACACTCTGCTGGGCTTCTGAGCCCTTTTTGACCTCTGGGAAAGACTCTGGACATCGCCAGATGTGCCCTGGGGCAGCAACATCACCTCTGGTTGAGAAGGGCTGCATTAGATGGTCTCTGAAGACCTTCCTTCCCTCAGGATTTCTCTTGGTACAAAGGGCTTCCAGCAATGAGTGTGCCCTGTGCAGGAGTGAGAAGTAAGTTAGAGGGAAGGCAAGGCTGTTTAACCTCATGCTGAGAGCCAAGGCCAAGCTCTCTGTGCCTCGAGACCTTTAGTTATGTAAGAAGGAGGCGTGTGTGTGTGTGTGTGTGTGTGTGTGTGTGTGTGTGTGTGTGTGGTCTGGGCCCCACCCTGGGGTCAGCGACCTTCCAGTGCAGGCAGCATAGTGATGAAGTCTGTGTCCTACTCCACATTCCCCTCTCCTTGCCCTGGGAAGGGGCACAGGAAGTGAATCAGCTCAGCGACCACACGAGAGAGGGCCGGGTGCCCTTTGAGATGCATGCTCACGCCCCAACCAACCTACCCAGGTTGTGTTTTGATTATTCCTTCCATGTTAGCTGTTTATTAACTCTGCCCACGGAATCCCCTTCTGACCTTGTTGCTTAATGGAAGGGCAGAAGATTTATTTTGGCGGGGTTAGGCTCGGGTGCTGCGGTTGTTGACGAATCTTGGAAGTAAATCACAATTGCTTTGGGCTATTCGTTCTTACAGGTCTTCAAGAAGAAACTCAGCTTTGGGCTGTGGCTAGACACTGGGAGGGATCCTTGGGATTAGACCTATTCCCCGGGCTGCAGAAACCCCTAATCCAAGGTATCTGTCAGTGTCCTGCCCAGGTGTACAGAGGAGGGCGTGGCCAGCCTTGAGGTCCCCTGTGCTGGAGGGTACTCTACAAGAATAAGTTCCTTTAGGGAGGAGATGGTGACTGTGTCAGAAACTTCACAAGAGAGA